GGAGGGGGCTAACAGCCTTCCCCACCCAGGGCCTCTGCTCCGCTCAGGAACATGGGCCTCGGCCTGGGGACCTGTTTTCACTGCCTCAGGGCCACCGCCTTTCCTCATTTCCTTGAGAAAAAAGAAAGCTGCCTGCGATTTTGCAACCATGTTCCCAGGAGAAAAGGCTGCGGGACTCAGTTAAACGCAGGCAGAGGTAACACCTGGGCTGGGAACCTAGAACGTATTTGTTGAACATCTTGCCGGAGGAGGAAAGCAAGCCTGCCAGCTGTTTGCAGAGGAATTTGTTGTGCAAATGAGTTCTGCAGCGGGAGGGGGAGGCCTGGCTCACTTGGCAGCTGCGAAGCCGCCCGGAGGAGCGAGCGCTCCGGGCACGGGCACGGGGAGGCGGGCAGCCCCGGGGCCAGGTTTGTCCCCACCAGGCAGCTCCGGCCCATCCGACCTGGGTGCCCCCACGCAACTCCCCCAGCCGCGGTCCTCACCGGTGAACCCAGCAACGTACCCTCCTGCGGGGTTGTCGTGGGCACCGCAGGGAACACAGTGAGCCATTGTCAGTTCGTGTCAACCCACAAAAACCCACCGAAGCGGAGGGGAGATTCTTCCGATGAGGACAGGGGCCGGGGTCCCGGTTCCTGACTCAGTGCTCGTGCCTGCTTCCCCCCGTCATGGGATAAAAGTCTCTCTGTTCATAGATAAAGAAAGTACTGTCTAACTTCAAAGACTTCGTCTCCCTGTGTCTGTTTCTAGGGAGAGAGGGGTTTGTGCCCACAGAGACGCTGGTGGCAGGCCCAGCTGGGGAGGAGGGCGGGAGGGGGGCTCAGGACAGGGGCTGGGCCCCCACCCCGGGACTTCCCTTGAATTTGTGGAGGCCACAACGTTGCTCTAGTTTAAAAGGAAGCTTCCCCCTTTCTCCACCCCCTCCAGCAAGAACGGGGTGCGTTTCTGAGGCCAGGAGTCAGAGCTCAGCTCCGTGGGGGCTGCGCCCGCTCGGCTGACCTGCGTGTGCAAACCTAGTCCAGCCAGCACCGCTGCCCGGCCCGGGTGTGCGCGCGGGCACCGCGCTTGGTCAGGTGCGAGGGTGTGGGTGCCCCGGACGCTGATCGTGTGAGTGGAGAATGCAGGGTCCGCGCTCAGGGTGGCAGTGGGGCGGGTGCACGCGTGTGGCTGCCTGTCCTGCCCCCGCAGCTGCGCTCCTCGGGCCGGGGCGTCCTGTCACTTGGGGCGCGCAGCCGGGGACCCTGGAGAGCGTCTGTTTCTCACTCTGCCCTCAGATTGGCGAGCTTGGGGCACAGGGTCAGGGAGGAGGCGTGTAGGAGGGAGGCTGGGGGAGGCTGGGTAGGGCCGGCTCAGGGCGGGGGAGACTCACCCCAAAGTAGGCGCTGTCCCCGTCTGTCCAGAGCACGGCCAGGTCAGCGTTCTCCAGCTCCCCGCGGTCCGACATCCCGAACAGCACCCCGGCCTGGAGCCCGCGCACCAGCAGCTGGAAGTGGATGGTCTCCTGCGCGTAGCTGACGTTCCAGGAGAGCTCCAGGGTCCCCTCGGGGTCCAGGGGGATGCGGTAGGGGAAGGGGCTCTCGGGGGGCGTCGAGCCCTGCAGCGCGGCCACCAGGATGACCAGGAACACGGCCACGGCTGTGCCGTACATGGAGGCG